AAACAAACAAAAATTGGGGATGGTGCTGTGTCGTAGTGGATAAAGTCACCATCTACGACATTAGCATCAAGCTGCCACATTTCCCATCCAGCCTCCTGTATGTACCTGGGAAAGCGGCGGCAGCCAAGTGCCTGCACCCTGCACCCACATGGGAGATCTGAAGTTTCTGGCTCCTGGCTGCAGCCTGACCCAGCTAGGCCCAGCGAACCACTGAACCAGCAGATGGAGGCTTTCTCTCTAACCCCGCCTTTCAAGTAAACAAACTTTAAGAATCACAGTGAGGGTTTTCACTTAACAAACAAACAAAGAAAGACACATTGGACCCGGCACAACAGCAAACTGGCTAATCATCTCCTTGCAAGTGCTGGGACTCCATAAACGTGGCAGTTCATGTCCTGGCAGCCCCGCTTCCTATCCAGCTCCCTCCTGTGGGAGACCTGGAGAAAGCTCCCGATACTGACACTGTCACACACTGGCTTCGGATTGCCGCAGCGCCGGCCGTTGCGGCCACTTGGGGAGTGAATCATCGGATGGAAGATCTTCCTCTCTGGCTCTCCTCCTCCTCTCTGTATATCTGACTTTCCAATAAAAATAAATAAATAAATAAATCTTTAAAGCCAAAGACACTGCAATCTGGTTCCCAGGCCTCTAGGAATGAAACCAAGGGCGAGCTGAGCCCACCAAGCAGTGTTTATAACCCTGTGGTGACGCCCACCTTGCCCCAGGCCTGCACCTTGCCCACACAGCACTGGAACCCCAGCATGCAGCCAGGGCCACATGCCACCATGGCAATATTTTAGATACAGCCATTATATAAGTATATTAAGCAAAACCTGCTACCAAAATCACACTTGCTTCCTTTTCTGTGTTTTATTATGGCTCCTAGAACATGCAGGTGGCTTTCCTCTTGGCCCCCCTCTTGGTAACTGTGACTGTCCACGTGCTTCACCCTTCCCCCCCCCAGTGAAATTTCTCAGCCTTCAGGCCCAGTTCAGTTGCCACCGTGTGCCCTGAGCCTTGTGACTGCCTCAGAGAGGGACTGAGCCCACAGCACCCCATGGAGCAGGGATGCAGCACGCAGCGGTGCCTGCGCTGCCCAAGTCGCCCAGACAAGCACAGCTCTGAAGCTCTGTGGCTGTATCAGCTTAGCTGCAAAGTACTGCAACTGAATGATCAATTGAGAGACTCAGCACATGCAGCACCTGCCAAAAGCACATGGAGCACCTGTGGCAAGCAGCCACCATACTGGCAGGGCAGACGCAAACATTTCCATCACCGCACACTGAGCAGCCAGCCCGCTCTACATTGTCCCTACCCTCTGCAGTCTGTCCCACGTGGCACTAGTCCCTCTTCTCCATGTGTCCTTGCCCAGAGCCATGAGCAAGACCGTGACACTGAGCCTTAAATACAGGTATAGATGGGGCTGCTGCTGGGGTGTAGCAACTTAAGCTTCTGTCTGCAATGCTGGCATGCAAAATGGACACTGATTCAAGACACAGTTGCTCCACTTCTGATCCCACTTCCTGCCGATGCACCTGGGAAAGCAGTGGAGAATGACCTAAGTGCTTGGATCCCTGCACCCATGTGGGAGACCCAGAAGAAACTCATGGAGCCTGGCCCTGCTCTGACCATTTGGGGACTAATGCAGTGGGATGGAAGGCAGACCTCTTTCTGACATTCTCTCATTCTCTGTCTCTCCTCCTAACTCTGCCTTTCAAGTCAATTAAAAACAAATCTGGGGTCTGATACAATGACTCAAGTGCCTATGCCAGCATCCCATATGGGCAATGGTTCCTGTCCTGGCTGCTCCCCTTCCGAACTAGCTCCTGGCTTATGGTCTGGGAAAGCAGCGAAAGATGGCCCAAACCGGAAAACCCAGAAGAAGCTCTTGGCTGGGCCCGACATGGTGGACCAGCAACTAAAGTTCTCGCCTTGCATGCACCGGGATCTCATATGGGCGCCAGTTAGTACCCCAGCAGCTCCACTTCCCATCCAGCTTCCTGCCTGTGGTCTGAGAAAGCAGTCGAGGACGGCCCAAAGCCTTGGGACCCTGCATCCATGTGGGAGACCCAGAGGAGGCTCCTGGCTCCTGGCTTTTGATCGACTCAGCTCTGGCCACTGTGGTCACTTGGGGAGTGAATCATCAGATGGAGGCTCTTTCTTTCTCTCTCTCTCTCCTTCTCTCTGTAAATTTGTCTTTCCAATAAAAATAAGTAAATAAAATATCTTTAAAAAAATAAGTTTTTTAAATAAAAGGTACAGTGGTGGATGGTATTGCAGAAATTGCCACCTGCAAAGTCAGTATACCATATATGCACCAGTTTATGCCCAGGCTGTTCTACTTCCAATCAAGTTTTGCCTGGGCAAAGCGCCACAAAATGAACCAAGCATCCAGGCCCCTGCCACCAGCCTAGGATGAAGCTCGTGGCTCCCGGCTGCCCGCAGCCACGGTCACTGTGGCTATCTGCAGAGTGAAGCGGCAGCCACGGTCACTGTGGCTATCTGCAGAGTGAAGCGGCAGACAAACGGTCAGTTTCTCCAGTATGCTCTGCGACTCTAACTTTCAGCCAAATAACTACTTTGAAAAAATAAAAACTTAGAAAAGAAATTAACTGAAAAGTGGTGTGGTGTTTACAGTGGGGGTGGCGCCATGGCTGCACTCGCCCCTTCTACAGGCAGGGATGCAGGACAAGGCCCGGGGAGGACGAGCCCACCTGCAGCTGCAGGCCCCTCTCACCTTCCCTCTCCAGATCCTCCTCATCCATGGCTGCCTCATCTTCCTCCTGGCCCTCCTCCTCCTCCTCCAGGGTGAAGGACAGACTAGAGATCTTGCGCTTGGCCTCCTTTTTGCGCTCCTTCTCTCGCAGCTTCTCCAGCTTCCTAGCAGGAGGGACAGGGGGCCATCATGTCCCGAGGGGCCCCGAGGGGTCCCTGCCCCAAGCCCAACTCCCCTTTGTGCTCAATGGGGCACACACAGCTGCAGCTCCTTCGACTGCTCCTTCTTGGCCAGCTGCTTCTCCCGCTCCTTCACGAGGGCCTCCTGCTTGGCCTTCATGTCATTCAGGGTCACGAGACCTGCGAAGCAAGGAGACGGCAGAGGGCAGGGATGAATCCCCGCGGGCAGCGAGGCCCCTAGGCTCGGGACAGGAGGCACCTGCGCCCTGCTCACCCACGGTGCTGGACTTGAGCTCTGCTTCCACAGCGTCGTAGTGTGCAGAGAACTTCTTATCAATGTTGGATTTCATTATGTTCTCCTGCCCAGGAGGAGAGCGCGCTGAGCACCAGCCCTCACCCCGGAACCGACACGTGGCCTCCAGGGCAAGGAGTTGGGGAGACCTGACCCTCAATTCACTGCAAAGCAACCTTGCAAAAGACATACATGTCCGCTTTGCAGTGTTGACAGAAGGGCCTGTGAGCATGCAGGGAACGGGCGGCTGCCTTCTGGTGCTAAAGCAGCCGTCTCTGATCCCTGTGCAGCTGGGGGGGGGCCTCCAGCTGTCCTGCTGGGGACCAGTGCTCCCTCTGCACTCTCAGATCAAGGACCCTGCTTGGCTTTGGCTTATTTTAGACTGAAGCACAGAGGTCAAGTGACCCAGCCAGTCCCAGTGTTGCTATCCTCCCTCCTGAGCCTGGACACTGTCAACAACTTCACTGAAGCCCCAAGCCCAGTCAGTGCCACTGACATATCTCTGGGGTCTGCAAGGGTGGCCGGCAGGACAGAAATCTACCTGCAGCTTGCCAGGGTGTCCCTGTCCCCGAGTTTGTTTTCAGTGAGGCAGCAGGAGGCCCCAACGACACTGGGTCAGTGGCCCTCTGAAGCCCAGCCACTCTGGCCCCTGGTTGAAGCAGCGTGTGGGACTCCTGCAACTTGAATTTTCCTGGCCTTTGATGAGCGTACAAAGGGTCGGTGTGGAGACCTGCCTGGGACCCACGGCAGAGAGAAGCGGGTCAGGGTGCACTCTGCTGAAGGGGTGGGGTGAGAGCCGTGCTGGTCCACACCCCCACCACCAACACAAGCTGGAGGCTTGCCACCAGCCAGTGGGATCGGCCTCATGCCGAGCCCTGATTCTGGACCCATTTTACAGATGACAGCTGTCGAGTCCTTTGGTCCCCAGCTGGAGCAAGGAATGGCCCCCCGTCCCCGGCGGAGAGCCTGTGGAGAGCTCCGAGCGCGCCACCCCAGGGTTTCCCAGGGCCCGAGGGTCGCACGCGGCCGCCAGAGGGCCCGGGCAGCGTGCAGGCTCCAAGGCGCCCAGGCTCGCACCTCTGCTATCCGCTGCTTCATCTGTTCCATTTGCTCGCGCTGCTTCTCTCGCTTCTTCATCAGGTGCATGGCGCGGCCCGCCTCGCTCGCAGCGCCCTTGTACTGCGCCATGGCGGCGGCAGTGACAGCAGCCCGGCCGAGTCTCAGCAGTGGCTGTAAGTTCCTGCTGAACGCGACGACGGCGACGGCGGCGGCACAGTCAGCTGACACGTGACGTCAGACACAGGCGATGGCGCGGGTCCCGCCCCCCAGCATGTGATCGCCGCCGCCGGGCCCCGCCCAGACTGCTTTTCCCGGCTGGGTTCCCGCCCCCAGGGGCCACTGTAGTCCTACGCCTTTGCCTGCCCCTCGCTGGCGGCGGGGCTGGAGACCCTGGCTCCCTGCGTTTCCTCGTTAACCCCGGCCCTAAGTTCACCCTCCACTTGCTGTGCACCCAGACGCAAGGCGACACCCCGCACCCCTCCTCCGGCCACCGCCTGCCTCCTCCCTGCCTGACGTCAAGGTTCGTTTCTCCCAGCCCCCCATCCTACTTGGCACTTTTGACTCCTACCCCCAAGACTGGGCCCCACTAGGCCAGGAGGCACTGTGCTTCGGGGATGTATCCCGCTGCCCGGCGCAGCCAGTAGCTGAGGGAGCCTTGAGCAGGTCAGTCGGAACTGTCTGCCCCGCAACACTCAGACCCCAACGCCGGGCGCCACAGCCCTGCCGCGCGGCAAAGCACCCCACAGGTACAGGCTCAGGTCTGAACACGGCTTTATTGGGAGGCTTGGTTTTCTGTGAGACACTAGAGATTATGGAAGGGAACACATGGACTTTGCAAGGTCAGGGCTTCCCAGCGCTACAGGAGAGACATGGGGCAGAGCACATGGGGCTGTACAGCCACTGTCCACCTCCTGCTTTGAATACAAACACAAAGAGAAAGCAAAGAGCAAAGTCCACCAGGGCCACGCTGGAGTCTGCCCAGCTCCCGAGGCTGGGTCAGGACTGGGGAGGGCGGCAGGGCAGGAAGAGCTCCCCCTCTGCCCCACCCCGGCTATGCCAACAGGGTGTGGTGGGATGGGTTCCAGTTAATAAATTAGAATAAATTATGGGGAAGAGGAATGCCACTGTATGCTGGGAAGACCCCTTCTTTCCAACATGTGAATGAGTTGGTGGGGGGGCGGGAGGCAGGGGGCATCTCCAAAGGCTTGTCCTCCACATTGTTCCCAAAGAGAGCAGAGGAATCGGGGCCAGGGGAGGAGGCACACACAGAGAGGACGCACACTCTTGTCCTAGGCTAAGGGAGGGCCCAAGAGAGACGCTATCCGAAAGCGTCTCTAGGTTAAGGATTCGGTCAGTGAATCACTAGGTGGAGAACAGGAATGTGTGGGGCAAGCAGAGGGTGCTGCACACGGGCTGGGGGAGGCGATCACTGGTCAGCTTCTCCGAACACGTCGTTCTGTTTGCGCTTCATGTTCTCAAAGTCGAAGGCTGAGCCAGCCATGCGCTTGTAGATGTCTTTAATGTCATTGCAGGTTGTCTCAAAGTGTGTGGTGGCATCATAGGAGCAGGAACAGAACACCTGTGAAGAGTCGGAGGCCTCAGAGCCAGCAGGCAGGGCCCTGGCGGGCAGCCTGGAAGCAGGGCAGGACAGGCTGCTTACCTGGCTCTCGGAACCATCGTCAATAGGCTCGTACAAGTCACTGATGGCCACAAACCTGGGAGGGAGAGACGGGCTCACAACAGGCCTTACCCTGCCTGCTCCTGCCTACGCGCCCGGGCTCAGCCACGGCCCTTACTTCTGGTCAATGGGCTCCAGCAGCTCCAGTGCTGGTTCAATCTCCTTTTCGGGCTCTGCAGTCTCCACTGTGGTGCTGGCGATGGCGATGTACTTGCCCTGCGCAGCTACGTTGTGTGCGTAGGAGATCATGCACACGTAGATGTCTGGCCACAGCAAGGGTCCCATTAGTGTGGGCCATAGGCAGCACCAGGCAGAGGCACCCAGCAGGCACATGGCACTGTGGCCTGGCATCATGGGAGCTTCGAAGCAAGGCACCCAACCCCTAGGGCCCTCCGTCGTGGGGACGGCCATGGGGTCGCATTTCTTCTTGGGGGAAGGAGGGAATCAGGTAGGAGACAGTGAACAAACCCAAAGAGAATACTCTTGAGGAAGTCCGGCGCAAGCTGGCCTACCTGACTTCCTGTTGACCTGGTTCTGGGGGATGATGATTTGGCAGGAATTGGCATCATTGGTGTTCCTGATGGGGTGACTGAGGATGCAGATGATGCGGATCACCTGCCCAGCTTTGCGGACACGGTCTGGGATGTAGCTAGGGTCACAAATGAGCTGCTTGCAGCGGGCCACCTGCAAAGGCACCGAGGGCTTTACTGCTGTAGGCCCCTCACAACAGGGCAGGGAAATGAGCCCCCAAATGAGGTGAGCAGGAACACTTTCTGCACTTGACTTCTTGTTGCTATGATTGTTCTTAAGATTTATTTATTTATTTCAAAGGCAGAGTGACAGAGATCTTCCACCTACTACTTCACTCCCCACAACAGCAGCCAGGGCTGAGCCAGCTCCAAAGCCAGAGCCCAGAGCTCCATCTGGTCTCCCAGGTGGATGCAGGGACCCAAGCGCTCAGGCCATTCTGCTGCAGAGCAGCCAGACCTGAACCAGTGCTCATACAGAATGCCGACACTGCAGCTGGTGGCTTAACTTTCTGTGCCACAACACAGACCCCAGGCACAAGACCTTTGACGGGCACCTCTTGCCAAAGCAATGGCTACACAGACGGCCTGGGGACCCACAGTCCTCAGATCCAACATTCTGTGGCAGGAGACTCTGGCTCCCTTGGGAGAAGCCCTGAGGGTGACTGAGCCCCGCAACAACCGTGATGGCCCCACTGCCTGGACAGGCCTTACCTCGCCCTCAGATTTCACGCCCACCACCTTGCCGTTCTCCATGATGATATCGTCCACAGGCTTGTTCAGCATGTATGTGCCCCCATAGATGGCGCTCAACCTGCGCCAAGGAGGGTGAAGGTGAAACGCCCCCGAGGCGAAGTGGGAACAAAGTCTGCCCACTGCCTCCTGCCACTGCCCCGGCTGGTTGTCCCCACTGTCACTGCTGTCTTCTTGTGCTCCTTCCTCTGTACCTTCCGCCCAGAATGTTTTGCAAAGGGTGGCATGAAAGAACATCCCCGTGTGAAGGAGCCCGGGGAAGCAAAATCAAGGTGCTCCCGGTGAAGTGTCAGCGGCCCACTAGGCCCTGCTTCCCGGTCCCAGTGCCAGCACTGCACCTAGCTTTGCTCAAACAGTGACTGCAAGACTAACCCACCATCCTGGACCCAGTGCCACCTTGAATGCCTGCTGACGCAGTACTGCCTTAAACCGTCCAGGTCTCAGTCCCCTGGGTACCTGGTTACCAGCCTCCTAGATTTCAACCCTTAGGGCCCACTTGCCTAATCAAACTTAGTGACCTTCAGGTTTCAACTGTGCACCAATCCCCCGAGGCGTTTATCCTTGGTGCCCACTTGCGGCTGCAGCTACCAAGCCCTGACCTGGCATTCCCATGCCCACCTCGAGGCTACAAAGATGCCTCTTCCCTTTGTTCTCTCTGCTCTTTGCTCTGCTCTCACCTTCTCCCTACCCCACATTACTTCTCTCGCAGAAATAAAGGCCTTTCGTGTAGCTCGCCTGCTGTGTCTGGCGTCTTGGGTTTGTGGAAAAAAGCCAACAGTGTCCGCAACACAGGGAACGGCATAGAACCACTAAGGAAACCTTCAAGGGGGCCATTTCTAGTCTTGGTCTCAGTCCCACTCGCCAGTATCAACTACAGAAAGCCATCCCCTCACCTTGCAAAGCCCTGGGGCAGCTCCCCGAGGCCGTAGAGCGGGTACAGGTATGGGCTCTTGCCGTACCGGGCCAGCGACTCACTGTACAACTTGATGCGGTTGATGGTCTCAAGACAGGGCTGGTCCAGGTAGCTAGGGGGACAGAGGTCAGGGAAGATGCTCTTAGGGCCAGTCTTCCCACCACCCTGAATGGCCCAGGGGATCTAGAGGTCAGATGCAGGGGAGGGACGGATAGGCAACAATAGGTGAGCCTGTGGCTGGGCTGGTGGACTGAGGGGCAGCGGACAGGTGTCAGGAGGGGTATGGGCTGGGAAAGGGACCACCGCTACACCAGCTTCCCCTCACTCATCAGTGCGGTAGAGCGCCAGTGCGTGGCCAGTAAAATCAATGACATCCTGGCCCAGGTCAAACTTCCGGTATACGTCACGCATGCTGGTGGTCTGGGGATCAACGCCCTCAAAGGTCTTGGGGTCATTCTCGTCAAAGTTTGCCACAAACACCAGGAATTTGCGGAAGCGCCGTTTTTCAAACATGCCCATCAGATCTGCAGAAGGAAGCAGGAGGGGGCAGGCTGGAATGCTGGCACTCCGCCACGGGGCCCTGACCACACTCTTCTCCTTGGCCGACGTGACTGTGGCAAGTTCCAGGGCTCAAGTGGAGTCCCTGTCAAAGGCTTCCAGAAAGCACTGTCCTTCCCCCCACAACCCCCAGCACTGGCAAGCCAATGGGAGGGGAGGTACACAGCAGCAGAGGCAAGAAAGCCAGTGATGTGTGCTACCATGTGGGGAACGGGAACGTGGGCATAGTGGTGCCCAGCTTGGGGTGGCTGGCTATCTCGCCACACCCCAGCAGGCCAGTATGTATGTCTTACCCGACTCACTGGCTCAGGAGAGCTGTACTTACTGGAAGCCAAGGCCTCGGTCTCAGTGGACGGCACCTTGTAGATCTTGCCACCCTTGTAGACAAAGCTGCCCTCCACCACTTTGAAGTCCAGGTAGCGAGTCACTTCCGTGTAGAGCAGCATCTTGACCAGCTGCCCTGTGGTGGGGACACCCTCAGCACAGCTCACTGGTGGCCCCTCCTCAAACAGCCCGACCGCTCCAGTCCCTCCCTCCCACCACCACCGCCCTGCCCCATCCCTGCCCCAGATCTTGCTCACCATTGGCCATGAGAAATTTAGGGATCAGGTCAACGTTCCAGTCTCGGCCCCGGCCCATCGACTCAGGGGGCCCCTCCAGCAACTGAAAACGCTTATATAACTGTAATCAAGAGTGTATGAGAGAGAGGGGGAGAGACATGTCAAGGCCTAGCTACCCCGCTGCCCAGGGAGTTTGGGCCAGGCTGGGTGGCCTTACCTCTTCCAGCGGCGTGATGGAGGAGCTCTCGCCTCCATAGTAGGGGTTCCTGTCCATGTGCAGCACCTTCTTTCCGTTCACAGACATGATGCCCGACAGGATGCACTCCTAGGGCGGTGACGACACTGGCTGCACCCCCACCCCAAGCCTCCCACAATGGACAGCTCCTTCCAGCCGCCAACCCCGCTGCTGCAGCCTCGCCTAAAGCTGGCAGCGACCGCTTCAGCATTTTTAACCCTGTTAAGCACAGAAATAACAAGAATGGAGGGACACAGGATGCCCGGCAGACACAAGGCCAGCATTTGTCAGCAACATGCCAAATACAGCCACAGAAGAAGGCAGATAAGACACAATGAGCCACAGGGCGGACCTTTCCAGGCTGTGGAGGACACCCACAATGGAGCTGAAGGCACTTGCAGTCTCAGATCCCACACTGGGCTGCTCTTTCCTCAAAGGGCAGGAGCCCCAGACCCTTGCCAGGGGCATCTGGGCATCTCCCAGGGGGAAGGGCGAGGATGAACACTCCTCAGCCGCTGTGCCTAGTCCAGGGACAAAGGCTGCACAAATCACTCAGCGCGAGGTCTCCACGGGAAACCAGGGTGGGGTGGTGGGAATGTGGTCACTGCCCTCGATGCTAGTTCTTCTGGAACATTCCCTGGATTTTTCTGATCTTAGAGGCCAGCTTAGGAGGCAGGATGAAGTCCCAACCTGGCCAGGCCTCCTGACCCCAGGTTCTTGTATTTATTTCATCCCTACTAAGATAAGTATAAATGGGGATGGGGGGGGATGCTAACAGTGTGATGGGTGGGGGTGATGGATGAAGACTGGATGACACTGGGTGGGCATTAGGTCGAGTGGTGATGCGTTTTCCGCCCCAGCAGGACGGGGTAGGAAGATGGGAAAGGGCAGGAGCTGGCAGCCAGAGAGTGGACCAAGCAGCCAGGAGACTGAAGAGACTGGACATGGCAGCGAATAGAGGCGACGTTGTGAGGCCTGGGTGGGTTGGGCGGGGGAGGGGGTAAGGTTGTGGGGAGCAGGTAGCACAGTGGGCAAGGGGCTGGCTGGACTGGGCGGGGGATGGGGTGAGGTCGTGGGGAGCAGGTAGCAGAGTGGGCAAGGGGCTGGCTTTTCGGGGACCAAAGGGCAGAGGGATGGAGATGACAGAAGATGCGTTCGGTGGCCAGAAACTGCATCATCGCAAGGACCGGGGAAGGTTCGAAGCGGAGCCGCAAGCGCCCGAGGCCATACTTACGGTGAGGCCGGTCCCCAGTACGATCACATCGTATTCCTCGTCCATGGTCAGGCCTTGGTAGCAGCGCCCGCTCGGCTCCTCCTCCCTTCCTCGCACCACAGCAGCCGCCGCCGCCGCACTGGACCAAAGATGGCGGCAGCCCAGTAGCCTCCCGACCCCTCCGCCACGTCAAAAAGTCCCACCACCCCTCCCGACACCCCAGCACGCCTTGCTGGAGCTACCGCCTCCCTGGCTCACCGCCAAAGATGGTAGCCGGTGCCCGGGCCCTAGCACCAGTGCAGCGCCACCGGCGTCACCGTTTCCTGAGGACCTAGAGGAGGTTAGGCGGGGCGGTCCAATGACCGGTACTGCGGACCGAGAGGGATCCATGCGCGGGAGTCGCGCGTGCCCCGCCCCGCCCCGCCCCCCGGGAGAGCCGGCGCGGCCCGCGGGTCGGGAGCGCGCTGCTGCAGCAGCCGGGGGAGGCCCCGTCACGACGCGGGAGCTGCCATTGTAGCAGCGACTGCTGCCCCGCGACACTCCTTCCCCACCCCAGTGGTAGGGCTCCCAGTTTGATAAGGATGCTGTGGTCAACCCGGAATCCTGGACTTTGGCTGAAGGCGCATGTGCCCCACCCACCCATCCCTCCACCCCACGCCATCCCTCGGCCCGGTGTTTTCCTGATGTCTAGGCCAGAAATGAATGACAAGAGGCCCAACATGTGGTAACCCATCTTTAATTTGTTAGGAAGCGGATAACAGAACAGCGCAGGCTCCTGCCTAGCATTCTTGGCAGGAACATGCCAGAAACCCAGTAGTCATGCCCAGCACACCTGTCTTGGAGGTCCCTTCCTTGTCAAGTTACAGCAATAGACCCCAGTAAATGGCTTCTGCACACAGCAGCGAAATGATAACATGGCCAAGCTGGATACTCCAGTGCTCATTTCCACATTCTGCCCAATTCTGACAACAAGGAGTCCTTGCTGCTGTAGGGAGCCTCACACAGCTAGGGAAGGAGCGTTTGCTACACAAAAGCACTATACACAGCGAGAGCTCATGGTGGAGAGACCAGAATAAATAAGGAAAGGAGCAAGAGGACCCTATGACTAATGACCCCTGCCCTTCACCACGACTGTGTCCGGGAAGTACGGTCAGAATCTCGAACACCTTGTTGGAAGACACGAGGGAAGCCCGTCCCAGACGGACGCGGGAGTAAGACACGCTGAGGGGCACTGAGGCCCATGCTATGGCAGGAAGACAGAGACCCTTGGGTGCAGTGTAGCAGGTAGGACAACAACAAGCAGGGCACCGTCACAACCCCAACCCCCACCCCCGGCACATGGTCATGCAAGCTGGGTCAAGGCGATGGCAGGGCCCTTGTGGTCATCAAAGCGATCCATGGTCTTGAGGCTGAGGATCATGTGCAGGCCGTAGGTGAAGATGAAAAGCATCAGCAGGGAGGTGACCAGCCCCATCCAGATGCCTGGAGAGAAAAAGCCTGCACAGTCGCTAGCGTAGGAGAACTGCTCACCAGTCACGTTGAAAGCCTGGATCTGAAAGACACAGAGATGCAGCTTCGTAGGGTGGCACCCCCAAGTCAGAGCACAGTCCATATTCCCAGGGCCAGGGCAGCCCACGCAATGGGACCTGGAGTGCATGGCTTCCCTGGCCCGCTGGCCAGGGCCCTACCCTGCCACATACCTGGAAGTCCTGCAGGGTCATCTGCCAGAGCGAAGGCTGAGCACGAGCCACCAGCAGATTGCCGTTCTTGCTCAGGCTGCTCACATACTCGCAGTGGAAGGAGTAGATGCTGGGCCCTGTGACCTGGGAGGCATTGAAGTAGGCCACCGAGTTGTTGCTGTGGATCTCCAGGCGCTCCATGGTAAACCAGTGTCGGGCAGACACTGGGTAGAAGCGGTTAGCCAGAATGAACCTGGGGGGAGGGGGAGGCAGGGGTGTCAGCTGAGTAGGGGAGCCTGCATCCACACTCCCCAGCCAGGTCTCAGCTGTCCCCAGGACTCACTTGAATGTCACCATGGTACCAAAGAGCTGCTCATAGGTCAGTGAGAGGCTGTGGGCCAGAAGCAGAAGTATGTTGTGAGGCTGCGGCCGGGTCACAGTCGCCTGGAGGAGTCCACTCCTCAGCTCAGCCCGGGTCCTTGCAAGGCCACCTCCCCAGAGACACTGAGGCTGCGCTCCTGCGGTCAAGAGCGGAGCTGCGGGGCAGCAGCCAGGTCCCTGGCTGCTCTTTAGGCCTCCATTCTCTGCCTCCCATTAGTCTGCTCCCCCTCCTTTCAGCTCCCTCTTGGGGTGCCTGAGGTACCTGGCCCACGGTTTGGACATAAGAGTAAATGGGAGGATCCCCCAGCAGCTAGCCTGGTATTTACCCACTTATAGGTGTCCTCAAGAGCTATGGCCAGGTTCCCAGGCACCTGTGAGCTGTTGACAAGCCAGCTCCCACCCCAGGAGCACAGGGCAGCAGGACTCTGAGCCACTCCCTTCCTTGCCAACCCTTGTGATCCCACTTGCATTTCCATGGCAACCACAACCAGGAAGACCACCCCTGTGCACAACATCCATACTTAAGCGCGGCTCCCCACCCTCGCCTCTGAGCCACAGTAGCAGGAAGGTCACCTGGCAAAGGACTCATTCCAAAAGGAGCCAGTCAGGTTGAGCTGCTGCACCCCAAAGGTGCGGTCTGTCAGGTCTTCCCAGTGGTCCCTGTAGGCCACAGAGAAGTTCTGAGCCCAGAACAGGATCCGGGGAGCAGTGTCATTGTAACTCACAGGTGGGTGAATCGCAGCTGCTCCGGGCTGCTGTTGCAGGAGCTGGCGACCCAGGCCCCCAGCCACCAGGGCGACATCACGAGCCACCTGTGGAAACACCCCATGAGCCCCCACTCACTGGTTTGCACCGTGTCCACAGCCCTGGCCTCAGAGGAGTCAAAGTTGGGATCCCCTGGATTTAGGGTACACTGCTCCGGGGCAAGACAACAGTCCCGAAACCTCATCCTACTTCGCCCAGGATCAGCTCAAGGGACTGGCCACCCCTAGGGGCCACTTCACAGGAATCCTCTGCTTCTCTTAGAGCCCTGCCTAGGGTATACTCCCCACCTCCAGGCAGACTCCCCAGACTGCCTCTCCCCACATATCCCAGAGCCCTGGCCAGAGGGACACATACCCTGGAAGGGCGGACTGCCGTGAGGGCTGCTGTGTACGGGACGTCCTCGGACTGCAGCATGCTTAGCACCTGCCCAATGACTTCATCTGAGGGGTGATGGGGAAATCACAGCACAAGGTCATCAGGCAGCCCATGTAAAGGGACATCCCCACTGGTTGTTGTGGGAACCTGCTAAGCCATCTGAAAGCATTGTGTGTAGCTTTCACTGTTTCTCACCCCAGCCCCTCCCCTTGTGCTCCCCGAGAACAGAGGTGGCCTGTGGCACTGACTCCCTAAGGAGAAAGTACACTCCATAGCTTCCTGGTACTACACCCCCCCAGAGGGGAGGGTGCAGAGACAGGAGGTCGGCAGGTAAGGGTTCAAGGTCTTGGGTCCCTGAAAGCTACACAGGAAACCGACTTTCAGTTCTGCACTCCTGGCTTTGGCCCAGCCCCTGCTATTGTGAGCTCTGGAAGAGGGGAGCTGGCTGCTGGCCGGGAGCCCTCTCTGCCTCTGCCTGTCTCACTCCATCTCTCTGCCTTTCAAACAAAACACAGTTTCCTAAGAAATTGGTTTTCTGGGCTCCTGCACAGAGGGTCCCTAAGCATCCTGACACCTCTGCCAGGCAGGGCCCTGCCAGAAAGGGGGGAGCTCAGTTGTCAGCTGCAGCGTGGGCATTAGGATAAGCCAACGAACTGCAAGCCACTCTGCCCTCCTGGCCCGAGGGCGGGCTCAGCCGGCGCATGCTCCCTGCCTGTACTCACCGTTGCCTGTAAGGACTTCCCTGGGTGCCATCAGCCCGGAGCTGTAGAAAACAGAGTCTGATGACATCAGTGCCCAACAGTCAGCCACCTGTCGCCTCAGCCCCTTTGGCTTGTTCCTTCCCCAAGCTGTCCCCCTTCTTCCTAGATCTCAGGGTCACATTCAAGTACCTGTAACTTGCTCTGGCACCCCACCAGGCCTATGTCTGCCTCATCTCTGGAAGTCTGACAGGTTTGTTTGAGGGCTACCGGAGTCACAGCCTGGCAGGAGGCCCTTGGCAGCACTTCTGCCTTCGTGGACCACCTTCTGGAAGGCCTTCAAGGTGGGGGAGCAGGGCTAACCCCAGCTAAGCTATGGCAGCAGAACCCAGAGCCCGGGCTCTTAGCCCATACTGGCCATACCTGCTTGTGTAGGGCAAGCGGATAAGCAGCAGGGCAGGGAGACTGGCATTGAGTTTCAGCTCCCGCAGGGTGGCCAGGTCCACGTGGAGGGGGCTGGCCCCAAGCTTCTCCTGCAGGTAGGTGGTGAGAGTGCTGACGGCGTACCAGTCAACAGCAGGCAGCACCAGCGAGGAAGGGGCCAGGTTCAGGGCATTCTGGAGGCAAGGAAGAGGCAGGCTATTAACCAAGGGCCAGGAGGCAAGCCCCACCTCTGCGGTTCAGGGTTAGAAAAATCCACCCCACCTTCAGCCGTAGAAGGTCAAGTCTCCCTAGCCCTTAGCATGTAGTCTGTGGCGAGAGGGCTCCCGGGAGGAGGTGCTTACCTCCAGGTTAGAAAAGGCGCTGTCCTGCTTGTCTCCAAACACACCACCGTACGCCGTGAAGTCCTCGACACTCAGCTAACAGGGGCAGAAGGAAAATCTTGGGTTGCGGGGTTGGTGAGGCCTTCAAGGGCCAGGTGGGGGGCAGGAGCAGAAGGCACAGCGGACCAGAGTGAAAAGACACGGAAGATGGTCACGAGGCTGGGGGGGCGACCTGTGGCCAGCTGCCTCGTGCTAACCTTGTGCTGGGAGTCAGAATGCACACAAGAGGAAGTGGGAAGGAAGAGGGAAGCTGCTAGGAGGCGGGGCCAGCCTGGACTGAAGCCAGGGGAGAAGCTGGGCTGGAGCTTCCTCAGAGAGGGTGGCAAGTCCCCTTCCCACTGTCTCTGATGAAGATCTCAGGAGTGGGGCAGGACTGACACAATGCCTGTATTCCCACCAGCTCCAGATGTCCTTAAGTGCTGCCCTCCAGGTGAGCCCCCAGCCTGCTCTGGCCTTTTCCAGTTAGGCCCAGCCCACTCTGTTTAGTACACACACTGGCCCAGCCTCCATTCTTCTCCCCCTGCATGGCTGCGACCAGAGCGAGTTCTCTAACCACACACATCAGCAGCGTGTATTCCACGTGGGCCACTGTTTTCCATCCCATTTACAGCCTCAGGTACCGCCCCATTAC